ATCCCAAATATTTTGACACGATCTATTGATGCTTGCGAACTTTTTCATTTTTAACTTAATAAAAATATATAGTTACGTAATAAATAATTGAAAAGTAGTAATATTTACTTCAAGTTATTCATGAGGTTGATTATAATCTAAAACTTTTAAAGAAATATCTATTTATTAATCCAATATTGTCTATAAACTAAAAGTTAGAATTTTTATCGACGAAATTGCATACTTTCATTCAATTTAGCTCGTAATGTAAGGGGGGATATACTTTCGAAATTAATATTTATATGCATATGTTATAACATGGCAACATATGGATTTATTGGGAACTAAATTTTTTTATAGTAGAAACTCCTATCTAGGGTAGCAATTTTAGACAAGACACGACTCCAACATGTAAATAAGCGGGTTTATGTTAGAAATTTCAGCCCGTTTAATTAAACAGTTGACACAACGATACAAAAATTAAACAAGTAAGGTTAGGGTCCAAAATTTCAACACGAAGATAGCCCATTTATTTATATGCAACTTCTTTTAATCTTTTAGGTAAAGTGAAATGTAAAAGAAAACTTTGGACTGAGTCGTTTTGTAATGTGGAAGCCACTAATTAGCCGTCACAGTCAATACTTATTATTTTTAGTTTTTCAATTTTTCATTAATATCTCATACTCCACAATCTCATTTGTCGCCTTCCGTTTGTCTTCCCTCTTTTAAACTTAGACTATGTTTGACGTACTAACTGAAAAGCTAGCTCTTAGCTGAAAAGTTAGTTGATAGCTGAAAAGCTAGTTGCTATATGAAAAACTAGTTGATAATTGAAAAGATATCCGATAAAATTTGACGTTTGGTAAAACTAGCTGAAAAGCTAGTTGAAAGATATTAAATAACATAAAAGGACATTTAAAAAAATATGTTTTCTATAATTAATTAAGGGAATATTCGGAAAATTTTGAAAAAACTTCTGAAAAGCTAGTTTAAGTAACTTTTTAAAAGGTTAGCTTATAAGCTACTTTTTGGCTTGTCAAACATGACAACTTAAAAAAACTCAAAAAAAAAAACTAGCTGTGGCGCGCCAAACACAGCCTTATTGTGAAGCTCCACCCTCCGCCTCCCACATTACAACTCTTTTAAACTTATTGTCGCATTCCGTGTGTTTTTCACTTTTTTTTAAATCTTTTTACCACCTCTCCAATTCCTACTCTTTCAGCATGTTCAGTGTTTCAATCTAGCAAGACACGACGTATCTACATGGTCTAAACCCTAAACCCTATACGGCTATAACCGATATGAAAATAAACGGGTTGATACGACACAAAACGATAATTAAACGGGACGGGTTCAACTCAACCTATCTCAACTCGTTTCAGTTTCAACTCGACACGACACGTTTGGCATCCCTACAGTCATCACAAAACCTTAACTCTTAAGGTTGAGGATTGTAGACATATGATCTAGATTTAGGAGTAGAATGATTATAAGTTAGCTGTTTTTTTCTATAACATATATTTTAGAATCTTATGTCACCATTTCTAGAAACAAAATCATCTAAACATTACATTACGTACATTTTGGCTTTCTTTATTTTGTTTTGGGATGGTGGGAGTTTCATATTTGTTGTAAGAGGTCAACGAACGAGAGTATAAGAGGAACGTGGACGATTGACACGCTGTAATAGTGTAATTAGTGTCCAATAAAACACGGAATTAATTACATAAAGTCAGACTTATTATTATAATTACTCTTTAATCACTATTTAGTCCCTAATAATTCAAATATTTTTTTTTTCTCAACTGGCAAAAGAGAAATATGTTTTAAAAGAAAGCTGAATTCAAAACAGTATTTAAGAATAAAATCAGTCCATATCAGGAAAATCGAATTTCATAAACTACGAAAACAAGAAGTTTTGTCATACACTACTTTGTAATCATCTTTTATTATTATAAAGTAAATATAGGTATATAAAACAAAATCGTTATTAAAAGAGGCCTAAATTTTTTAAAATATATAAAGGCATAAAACAGAACATGGATTTGCAAAACTATAAACTATAGTTTGACCTCACTAGAGCTTCATACTCTTTTTTTATTCATCCACTACCAAAATACCACGTGGCTTTGAGAGAGAGAGAGAGAGAGAGAGAGAGAGAGAGAGAGAGAGAGAGAGAGAGAGAGAGAGTTGAAATGGTCAGCTCAAATATTGTTCTGTAAAGAGGGAGAAAAGAAAAGGGAGTGAATCTTTTCTGTAGAACTTTGAATTGGTCAGCAAACACTTTCTTGCATTATTACTCAACTGTACTAGCTCAAAGTGTAAGTTCTATACATTCAGGGTTTGAAACGGAACTTCTTATAATAGTGTCAAGGAATTGTAAATTAAGTCCCTTAGTTTTATGCTTTCCTTTATTAGACACTGATTCAAAATCATGAAATCCTTCGACATTTATTTCAGATACTTCAAATCAAAACATATAATAAAAGAATCTTATGCGCACCGCACCCATTATAAAAGCAACACCAACGGCAAAAGAATCTAGAATCACATTCGAAATAGGGTAAGGGGGGAGTTAGTTGTCTAATGTCGTGTTTAGTACTGTAAAAGAACTAAACGTTCGGCGAACTATCTGTGAACTGTTCTGCGAGATCAAGTTCGTTTATGTTTGTTTATTTAATAAATAAACGAACATAAACACAGCTTCTTGTTCATTTAGTTAAATGAACGAACATGAACAACATTTTCGTTCGTTCAATTATGTTCGTTTATTTAAGTTCTTTTTATGTTTATATATATATATATATATATATATATATATATATATATATATATATATTCAGTTGTGTTTAATTACATTATTATATTATATGTTCGTTTATGTTCATATATGTTTATTTATCTACGTTTGTTTATGTTCGTTTGTTTATATTGGTTTACCATTTTCACGAACATAAGCGAACGAACATGAACAATTTAATTTGTTAAACGAACGAACATGAACAAGAAAACTCGTTCGTATATTTGTTTGTGTTCGTTCATTTGTTCGGTTAACTTGAACAAACGAACATAAACAAACTCTTGTTCTTGTTCATTTAGTTCGTTTACAGCCCTAATCGTGTTGCACTGATAAGTGGAGCAATTACTTCTCACAGAAGATGTCTGACATATAATTCGCAAACCTGTAAATGGGGGCAATCATTTCCCTACTCGGTAGTAGAATGACTGCTTTAAAAACCATTTTTCCGATTACCACCTTTAATACCAAGACAAAATCTGTAAAAGTACAATGTATTTTATAATTTTATCGATTTAGTCATTGAAAACTATTGTAAATTGCAATTACTCAATTTTAACCGTTTGATTATTATTATAATAACCATAAAAAAATCAATATATAGATCAATAAAATAGTAAAACTAAGGTTATAATAGTTTAAAACTACATAAAATAAAGCACAACATTAGCCCAAAAACAAGGGGAAAAAAACATTTTAGAGGCATTGATTATTACTATTAAAGAAATGGGTTTGCTCTACCATCATAATTTATTTTACGGGTTAATATCACAAATAAATAACGAATTATTTGTATTTTGTTTTTTACAAAAAATTCATTGTTATTAAAAAGTACCATAAATGGTAAGGAACTGTTTTTTTCTTCTCAAAATACCATTGAAATAATAGTATTTTATAAATAGAAAGTTCAGGTTACTTACCTTTGATAACATTTTCTTAAAACAATTGTATTTAACAAAAACAAATTGTTTCCATTTATTACATTAATCCAAAAAGAAACTACAAAAAATAGAATCTTAAAGTGTACACGTGGTCTCTAAATGTAAGAACAGAAAGAGTTTGTGGGCGTTTCCATAAAACTCATAAAGTAAAGGGGGTAAACATGTAAATTAATTTGATTTGAATCAGTCAGCAGCAATAGCATCAAAGACCAGTCCATTTCCGAAAGACAAAAAAAACACTTAACACGGTTTCTCAGTCAACCTTCAACATCATCTTCTCAGCTTTAAATCCTTAAAATCGTCTCATTCTCTCATCACCTTCTCAAACACACACACCTCATCTCCCTCTCTCCTTCCCCTCTCATGAACAACTAGCATTTTGACTTTTCAGTTTGTACACCTTGCATCATAACTTGTACATTACAGATATGGAAAATGTTTACATCATCAATGAGCTAACACAAGGGATGGAACTGGCTAGGCAGCTCAAAGCCATTCTGAGCTCAAACTGTTCCCCTGAATCAAAACACAATTTGATTCAAGGGATCATCGCTTCTTACAACAGAGCGTTGTTGATCATCAACAGCGCTCAGTCTGAGCTCCCGGCACTAGCGGCACAACCGGTGTCAGTGTCGGTGCTCAGCCAGCCTGAGTCGCCGGTTTCCATCGATGGAAGCCCACAAAGCGGGGATTTCAATCAAGGTTTTGATAATTTCCACGATCAGAAAGTCGTATCCAAGAAAAGGTATAAAAAAAATTATATATTTTTCGACTACTATGTTTTAGTAGTGTGTGTAATTTGGTGCAAAATTATAATCTTTTTTCTTGATTTATGTTGCAGAAAGGCAATGCTGACGTGGAAAAACCAAATCAGAATCTCCACTGACAACGGTTTGGAGGGAAACTCTGATGACGGTTATAGTTGGAGGAAGTATGGGCAAAAAGACATTTTGGGTGCTAAATTTCCTAGGTTAGACATTCTTTCTTTCTTTTTATCCTTTGCCTTTAGGTGGGACCCACTTGATTTATATTTTTACCTGTTTTTCAAATGATACGATATATATCAAATGAGAACGTTTTTTAGTCCTATTTTTTTTACGGACAAAAGGTTATAATTTTGATCTGATTACATCAGTTTTCTTCTGTCCCATCATTTTTTTGATGGAAGAGAAGATTACAAAGTTATATATTTTTTCCTATTGGCATCGTACAGATATCGATCATAGAATTCAAAAAATCATATTTTAATATCGGTTTTTTATTAAATATTTGCAGAAGCTATTATAGATGTACGTATCGATACGTTCATAACTGCATGGCAAGAAAACAAGTGCAAAGAACAGACGAAGACCCGACAGTTTTTGAAATCACATACAGAGGCAAGCACAGCTGCAACAACTCAGCCACCACCGCCACCACCACCGCCGCCGCTCATCCAGTGGTGCCGCCGCAATCACCTGAAAACCACCAACCACCACCACCAAAATCCGGCGAGATGCTATCAAATCTTCGAGAAAATCTCAGAGTTAGCACATCAGATTTGGATGCCATGGTTCCATGTTCATTTTCCTTCCCTTCATCATCATTCGGATGCATAGAAAACTACCAACAATTTCATTTCACAAGTGAAGCCGATCACAATTTTTCACAAGCTGCCAATTCCGGGTCTAACTACTTCCCGGAATGGAATCACGAATTCCATCATCACGATGATTCCAATCTCTCGGGAATCATTTCCACCACTACTTCAGCGACAAATTCCCCGTTGGTTTTCACTGATTCACACGATTTTAACCCAAATTTTCCATTTAATAACTCAGGTTTTTTTATTTAATAGGTAATAGGTAACTCTTAAAAAAAATAAAGAAAAAAAAATAGCATTAAATTTTGCAGATAGCATCAAATCAATAAACTAGTTAAGCATACAAAATAATGCTTGTACAAATAGAAATGTAAGATTTAAGATTAAGAGCCATTCAAGATCTAGAAATAATATATGGTATCACATTTGTTCACAATGAAGGGTATTTTGGTAATTTTATGTGGTAAGTTCGATGATTGCTTGTTCATGCCAAACTCCATTAAGATTTGATTGCCATAATCTCACCCTCCCATCACTCCCGGTGGTTGCCAGTGTCATTCCACTCATGTCCCATTCCATTTGCCACACCTAAGACAAAAAGAGACAATAAATAACAACATACTTTCATATATTTGTTTATTATAATTTATAGCATTGTACTTTTATAATAAATAACTAAAGAAAAGTACATTGCTAAAAGAATACATACCTGATTGTTATGGCAAGGGAATGTGGCAACCTTTTCAACTGAAAGCCTTCCATCAATATCAGGGTCTGAAGCCATTTGCCATATTGAAATGCTCTTTAAAGTTGCAACAGCCATCAACTCATATGGTCTAATTGTTTACAAGTTTAAAAGAAACAAATTAGTAAAACAAGATTATAACTTTTTAAATTTTAAGATCTCATTTTTTTATATAAAATAAAAACAAAGGCTAATTACCTTCCAATGTTGGAAGCCCATGCCACAGCGTATACTTGATCACCTTTATCATCAGTGTCTGCTAGTTCAGCAACTGGAAGCCATCTTTGATGATCTTGGTCAAACTCCCATACCTGAAAATATTGACCAGTTAGAGAAAAAAAAATCATTTCTAATAAAATGATTAGAATTACATGATTAAGTAAGCATACTTTGGGTGAATTTAGTTGTGGGGTATCTGAATTGAGACCCAATAGAAAACTTGCAGGACATGTGTCGCTTCTTTGTGGGTTCCATGAAATAGATGCAGACAAACATGATGCTTTTCCAAATTTCGTTACTGAATCTGTAACATTCTGTAATTCAGCCTAGAAAAGGAAAAAAAAAAAAGGATACATGTTTCTGTAAGAACAAGAAGAAACAAGGAAGAATAACAGAATCAGAATCACCTGAAGTTGCCAGTTCTTCAGGTCCATTGGATCTAAAATCTCATAGACTTTTACAATGCCATTTGAATAAGCAACTGTCTAGAATGGAGATGTAAAGTTTGATAGGATTAAAGATTAAGGAGATAACTTAACTGTAAATTTAACTGATTTTTCAATATGAATATTTGGACACCAGAATACTTAACTCACCAGTTTCAAACTCGAATGGGAGTTCCCAAATTGAGCATCTAGAACTTGATCCATGGATCCTCCAAAGGTTTTGCATTGCTTCCATTGAACACGCTCACTGTCTAATGGAGATAAGGTTGAGAAAAACATTTTGTAAATAGTTTCAGCAAACAGGGGCAGTAGATCTAGGAGAACATATTGCAGATTGCATACCTTCTGCTAGCTCTTCCCAGATTGACAAACTTCCATTCGAACATATACACGCAATTGCATCACCGTACTCGGGAGGAACCCATAAAACTTTTACAATGCTTCCCTCGCTAACCTAAAATTCGATTTGTTAACATGTGAGCAATCACAATTGAGCATAAGAACTACGCAAATGCATTGTTGTTTTCCTAAATAAACGATTTAATCTCCAATGGCTAATTGAATAGCTCTTTTCCACCGGGTTGATATGTCGAATCCGGATCGTTACGAATTTTCGTCACAGTGTAAGGTACAAAATTTACGGGAAAACTGGAAATGGAGATATAAGAAATGGGAATCGAAATATTAACCTTGAATTTAAAAGTGGAGGTGAAGGAGGAAGAAGCTGGATCACTAGTGTCGTAGATAGCTATTGATCCATCGATCATACCAGTGGACAATCTTTGGCCACAGTAGTTCCATGAAGAGCATATTGCCCCTTTATCTAAAGTTGCTACTGATTTCTCCATGAAATTAACTTTCTAGGGTTTCTCTATTTCTTGATTAGCCCCAATATTTTTGAGGTTTTAGGGTTTTAGTTCGAGCGTTCGTTTGCATTTGTGGGTTCCTAAATTACAGAAATGCCCCTGTGAACCTTCTTTTCGAAATAAGTAGATCATATATTATTGACCTCTAATCAAAATAATTTTTAATATTAACTATTTTATTGGAAAAACACACATATTAATTGATCTCTTATCAAAATAAGTATTCTATCCAGAATAGTCATTCCGGAGCTGACTAAAACGGGTCAAGTATATTATTGTAGTTCAATGTTATATATATATGGGGCCTACCTCCAAACAACCGGAATAACCATTTAGGAAAGTGAATTTTCGTAGCTTTTGCTACCGGCATTTCGGAAAAAAGTTTTTTAAGCTTATAAACTATGGATTCAACAAACCAGATAAGTTCTAATCATTAACTTACCTGCATTTTACATACAACTTTATTTTACAGTTGTATGTATTCTGGAATGCATACAACATTTACAGAATACGAAAAACTAATCTAAAATATCTATTTTTTTTTAATGTTTTACATGTATAACAACCATATAAGTACCTTACAATGTGTTTAACACCATTTTTTTGTGAAGAAATAAGTGTACATTAGTCATTACAGGTGATTCCGGAATGGTAGTCTTACTCCAGAATACGAAGAACGAAGTCTGAAATACGAAGATCAATTCCGGAATGACACTTCGGAATAATGATTCAATATTTGTTTAATTTTATTTCGGATATTTTTAAATTGATTTTGATATTTGTTTGCGTTAACATATTAGTCGAAGATCAATTTGCGTGGTTGTTGTTAAAAAAATATGGGTTTTACGGACGAAGAAATAGTATTGTGTCTAATAAAGGTAAAATCAAATTAAAAACATTTGTTATAAATATTTTGTATTTTATGGTAATATATTAAAATGATGTTGGAATTTTTTTTTGCAGATAAAAAAACAAAATTTTGAAAAAAAAAATTGTAAACCACCAAAGCGCCTATAAAATTAAGAAAGAAATCAGAAAGGATGTTTAAACTTGAATTGAAAATAGATATAACTTCGAAAGATGAGACCATAACAAGTTCAGACAAACATGTTATTTTAGACTAGTTGTGAATTTATAATTTTTGTTATGGATACGTTTTTGCAAGTTGGTTTTAATTTTGGAACATCTTTTTTTAATACGTATTTTTAATATTTTTTTAATTTCAGACTCCTACATCCAATGACTCGATTGTTGAGGATGCGTTACCAATATAATATGAAATACTACGTCTTGAAGACGAGCAACAACGTCTTATTGATACGACTACATTAGAAATGATTCATGATTATCAACGTACGAAATAACGAATGGTGATACTGGAAATCTCATTACCGCCTTCTGCGGTTGAGGAGCATAGAAAACTAGCATCGTATAATATGCAAATGCTCCTCATTACGATGTAAAATATACGACAATTTGTGAAGACAATTGACATCATCGAAAAAGCATGTAGGATAAGTGCACAATAGAAGAACGTGTGCAAATGACCGATAATGGGATCAGCTTAATTGAAACCTACTTGAAATTATTTGAAAATCATGTAGACACTGCTAGTTTGCACCGAATGCAAGCTCCCATTATCCTAGAAATGTATTCTAATTTTAAATATTGTAAAGTCATTTCAAAGTTAATTATGTAAAAGAAATGGTAGGGTTTTCTAAAATGGAAATGAGTTTCATTAACATTAGTTAAATGATCGTTACAAAAGCTAGTACATACTTATATTGGTTTCCACAAATTAAGAAATTGTAAGGGATACATATTTTGTTCGCGATCAATAAAATCTTCTTTAATTCTAACAACATATGTTAGACGATGACCGTCATATCTTTGATGACTTCTCAACTTCTTTGACTTTTTCAAAGTTTCAACAACCCATTTTTCTTTTTCATTTACTTGTTCCGCTAGATCGTCTGCACGTTGATTGAGTGTCAACTTATTTCAGAGTCCCTTTCGTTGGCTTCTTCGGTGGCCGTCATATCTTTGAAAATGTCATTAGGCATTTTATTCGGGAGTGAGAAATATGGGCCTTCCGAAAACGGGTTAATATCCAAACAAACATATCAATCTTCTTCTTTACAATGTCAAACACCAAATTCAGATGTACTCATTCTCAAGTTTTTACTTTGCTAATATACTACGTTTACGATGTATGGTAGTTGCATATTAATAGTGTGAAGTTGTAAGAAATTATAGTGTGTATGGAATGTCTGTCCGGAACGGTGTGTCCGGAATTTATCTTTGGAATTTATGCATGTGACTATGTGTCTGGAATGTGTGTACGTGACTCCAAAATGTCAGGAATCTATAACATGCATGATGGATTTGACTTGGCATGAATGATTGATTTGACTTCTAGAATATCAGTCCGGAATGTCATTTCAGAATTATAGTAAATCCAAATGAACCACTATAAATAAGAGATGAGAATTGAAGAACATTTACAACTCCGAATAGCAATAAATCAACCCCAAACATGGACTACACTAGAAGAGATCACACTCGTTCAACCTTGGATAATCATTGAGGACGATATGGTTTTCATCAGTCTCCCACATCTGAAGTATGAATCACGTTGGGTCCGCTTGAAATATATGTTTCACTATGAGTTATATTGTAGAGAGTATCAAACATAAGAAGAAGTGAAGATTAAGTTTAAAGACATAAGATGAAAGGTGAAGACGTTTATCAAAATTTATCACAAAACTGACAACGAATTATTGGATGAAGATGAAGAAGTAATTTTGCAGCTAGCAAGGGTGGAATACAAAAATAAAATAATGGGGTTGATTTTCCATACGAACATGCTTGAAATCTTTAAAAAGATGTCTCGTATTTGTAAATTATGTAATTTGTTGTTTGTAAGTTAAATAAGGTTATGGTATTTATAAATTATGTTTTTTTTTCTTTGTAATATGTAAAAAATATTAGGGCAATGATAATTTTCATCAGTCAATCCAAATCAATAATAAACATAATTAATTGTGATAAAAATAAATACATGGTTACATTGGGATTAAAATGATCATCCATGGGTCTGGTATTTCATATTCAAATGGAGGGGGAACATGATGCACATTTTGCATCTGGTATGTAGTTCAAAACACATCAACCCGATAATATATCTAAACCATATGGTTTAATTCTATGATGTTTGAATAATGTGATGTCGCAATAGCATGACTACATGCTATATCGAGATTGCGCCATTTCCCACATGAACATGTGTGGCGGTTCAGATCTACAACACAAATTGTTTTAAAATAAAAAACTTAAAAAATGTCAGACGAGATCTTAGGGAGGATCTTTGTTGCTTGCCACCGAACAAACTTTGGCATCCTCCTGTGAAGCACCATCTCTTCATAAGGGGTTAGTATGCTAGTCAACCTCTTTGAAAAATAAATATTATCATTTATGGTATTTTTACAAGTAAATAATAATTTAGTATTTTAAAGTATTTTTACCTCCCATGAGGTTGTGTTTAACAAAAGTTCGTTGAATGTAGTCACGAATTACCTCAGTAAGATTTATTATTGGTACATTACATTGATTACTGATAACACCAGGTGGAATTGTGAAATATCAATATTGAGTACATTCGAATGGATGTTAGGTTAATAGGGTCTTGCCCATTTCACATGACTGATGCTGGCAAGCACCTCACGTGCATCATGGGTTAGCTGACAGAAGGTTTCTTAAAAATCAGATATAGTATATGATTTGCATATATGGAAAAACAAATGTTCCAATTTTTTATTTCTACTAACTCTTGTTCACAAATACATGAACACACTCTTACAACAATACCCATGATAATAATCGAGGAATACCTAACCTATGCAGTAACTAATAACATCGTCCATATTGGTTATAAATGATACTTCCCTAGCATCTCTGAGAACTTCCTTCAACCTCATCAGGAACCAGGTACAAGAGTCAACATTATTTGTCATGTCGATACCAAATGCTATAAGCATAGTCAGGTTGTTTCTGTTCAATAGCAATTGATATGAACATTGTCTTTAGGTAGTCTCTTCTTAGACGGGCACTACATATGATGACATACATCAAACAACCTATGAATGCATGGAGTTGTGTTTTTTTGGAAAAATAAACAATTAGTTGTAGAAACGTTATAAATTTTAAAGAAACAATTAAAATATGGAGCAAAATAATTTTACCACACATCCAATAGCCACAAAACATAGTTGGAAACGATCCACCACATCAATGTTGATGTTTGTGTAACTATGAGGGTTGCTCTGTCGAATGTTGTGTGGGTAAACAAGCATGTTGGTAAAGTTTTCTTCATGCTCACTGTTTGAGAAACTCATATTGAAGTAGTTATAGTAGATAATGACAAATGATCCAAAGTAAGTGGCTAACTACATGGGATACCATTTATATACAGGGGACGAAAAATGTTGTTTTGGGGTCCTGAATGTGTGTCCGTGATTCTGAAATGTCACATCTATGTATGATATTGACGATTGTACTCCAAAATTAACTTTGTCAGTCCGGAATGTACGGAGATAGATTTCTGAATCCAAGCTTCGGAATGAACACTGCTACTCTAGAAAGCTATATTCCAAAGATTGTGGTCATTTTTCAAAGAAAAAATATAATTTTTATTGTTATTAAAATAAACATTTATATGGGTTAGATTACTCAATTTCCCTTAATTTATTTGTTGGAAAAAGACACACATGTTGACCTCTTATCAAAATAGATTTTTATATTAATTTCTTTGTTGATAAAACATGCATTAATTTTTGAGAAATCTGTAAATTTGGTTGTAAGTGTTTTTTTTTCTGGGTTTTGGTCTTTTATGATTCAAAAATTACAAATATAGTGTTTATCAACAGATTTTATTATGACTTTAGTCTTTAAAGATAACTTTGTTATCTTCCATTCGTTAACTTGTCATGCGTATCCCTCATATGTAGGTATTTTTAGAGTTGGAAAAAATTGACCCAACTTACTAACCCAACACAAAATTAGCATATTGGGTTGAAATTTTCAACT